CATTTTAGCAAATATATATATATATATATATATATATATATATATATATATATTTGTGCCATTTTTTGTATATTTGAAATATATATATATATATATATTATTTATTTATTATTTATTCAGTTCAATGTTGAGTCAATAATATTGTCAATATTGAAAAATCCATCATTTATGAACCAAATTCAATTTCAGCAGTAAAACAGCACTACATAAGTCATTATTCAGATCAATTCAGTAAGGTTTTGTTCTCATCTGATCATTTGATCAGTCAAATCAATAATATTATTGAATATTAAGTGTCTTTTAAAAGATGTGACCACTAAAGGTTTGGAACACATTTTAGTAAATAAGAAAATTAATTTTAATTAATTGCAACTAATGCAATAATCTGAATAAACCCAACAGAATCATTGATCTGGCTTATGAAGCGTCTCAAACTCCTCCAGACGTCATGATGAATCTGTAGAGATGAAATGATCCCGTATGGCAGGGTCTGGCGCTGTTTCTCCTAATCAGGCCGGGTCTCATCGTAACCTCTCTCGCCCGCTCCTCAGCGCCACTCTAATGGAGTAATTTACCCAAACACGCTTCCCCAGCGCCGGGTCACTGGGGCTCGTTCCACCAATTAACACGGGGCTCCGTCAATGCCCATGAGAGCCGCTCGCTAATGACCAGCATGTGTGAAATCAGAGCTCTCTCTCTCTCTCTCTCTCAGCACATGTGAAAATTAAGCTCTACAGGAGCAGAAAATGTGATTCTCTTTCTCTCTAACGGAGGACAAGATTTTCATTATATTCACCTGAAATTGAGGGTCAGGTGACGGAAAGACAGAAAATAACATTCTGACCACACACACAGACACACACACACACACACACACACACACACACACTCAGGTTTGTTTTTATGGCTTATGGGGAGTCTCCATATTTGTAAAGTTTTTTATACTGTACAGACCGTATTTTCTGTTGCCCTACACCAACCCTACCCCTAAACCTACCCCTCACAGGAGACTTTCTGCATTTAGAAATTTTCAAAAAACTAATTCTGAATTATTTATAAGCCTTTTGAATTACGGGGACACTGAAAATGTCCTCATAAATCACCTTCTCGTTGTAATACCTATGTCATACCCATGTTATTATACAAATGTGTGTCCTCATAAACCAGATAAACATGCACACACACAAATATATGCTGTGTTCTTGTACAGGTGAGCGGCTCATGATCGGGTGTTTTCAGCATCTCTTCATCTGCGTACAACACGCCTTTGAAAAGCAACACAAACCATCTTCACAAACTTGTACTGAGAAACACATATAAACCATCTGTTGCCAACAAAACACAAGCTTTAAGAGCTGCATGCAGTTTACCACCAAATAAAAGCGCAATGATTTAATCTTTGAATATGAAGAAATTAAGACTTAAGCATTGTAATTTTACTGTTGTACTGTAAAATAAAATTACATTTTCTTTAAATCTACTTTTTATTTTACAGTAAAATATTACAATGTCACAGTATCGATCCTTAATTAGTTTTATGTTTTATTTATAAATAATATTTTAAAGTCATAATCATTGTGCAACCCAACGGGGCTTTAAATTAAGTTTTTAACCAGAAAATTCACAATTAGATTTTTTCCCCAAATCGCGCAGCCCCAGGTAAGGGTGTTTTCCTGCTGGTCCTATAGTTCAGACATTAAAAACATCAAACAGCTTCTGAATTTTTTAATAAAATATAGCATGTTTTGAATAGAAATGGCATTTGGTGTGCAACACTACTGATCCATTTCTCATTTTCAACTCATTCTTACTGATGTTACCAAAGTCTTCATCACAAATCATCTACAGATAATGTCAACAAACAAACAGCTACTTAAAGGGTTAGTTCATCCAAAAATGAAAATTAGGTTGTGTTTTACTTACCCTCAAGCCATTCTAGGTGTATATGACTTTCTTCTTTCAGACGAATCCAGTCGGAGTTAGATTAAAAATGGTCTTTGATCTTTCAAGCTCTATCATTGCACTCAGCGGGTGTTGCATTGCTTCAGTCCAAAAGACGTGAAATAAAAAGCGACCATCCATGCGCAAAGCTGACCTCATACGTCATCCGCCCGGAGCTGCTTCCAGTGTACAACAGTGAGCGCAAGCTAGATTAAAGTGATTATTACGTTTTGAATATGGATATTTTTCTTACAAAAACGCATCGATTTGCTACAGGAGGCCTTTGTTCACCCCCCGGAGCCGTGTGAGACACTTTTTTTATGGATGGGCGCTTTTTATTTCACTTCTTTTTGACTGAAGCAATGCGACACCCGCTGAGTGCCATTAAACAGCTTGGAATAGCCAGGACAATTTTTTATATAACTCCGACTGGATTCGTCTGAAAGAAGAAAGTCATATACACTGAGGATGCCTCGGGGGTGAGTAAAACACAGTCTAATAGTTCATTTTTGGGTGAACTAACCCTTTAAGTTTGCACGGCATAAAAACCCGGTTTGATCCAGACAGTGGCGTGTGAGTGGATCTCACCTGGTAGAAGTTGGGCCAGTATGTGCTGATGGCGAGCTCCACCTGGTTCCAGCTGCGTCCAGCCGGTCCAGACGTGTTCCACACAGGCAAACCCATCGGGCTGTTGTTCTCCTTGATGTAGACGTTCAGATGTCCAGGCCGTCCTCCCTCTCGTCCCGCCACGTAATACTGGAATATGACGCAGTGCGTGTCGTTCTCCTTCAGCTGTGGCGTGAAGAGCAAAGCCTTCTGACCCGCGAACCGACCCGTCGAGTTCACCATCATGAACGCAGAACCTGTGGACGATAAACCCAACATCTCACTTTCTCTGCACTTCTGAACCGTTTGATTGTTAATTCACATATAAATGTCAGTCAAGAAAATTATTGTGAATGCAATTGCTCTCTGACACATTTTTGAGTTGTGAAAGTGTCCATATGATGTAGATGTTATTTAAAAATATATATTATATATATATATACACTCTACCGGTCAAAAGTTTGGGATCAGAACGATTTTGTATGTTTTTTTTTTGTTTCTTATGCTCATTAGGGCTGCATTTATTTGATCAAAAATGCAGGAAAAAAATTTTCTACTGTGAAATATTATTATGAGGTTAAATAACGTTTTTCTATTTTAATATACATTCAAATCTAATGTATTTCTGTGATGCGCAGCTGTATTTTCAGCATCATTCCTCCAGTCTTCAGTGTCACATGATCTTCAGAAATCAGTATAATATGCTGATTTATTATCAGTTGTGCTGCTTCATGTTTTTTTTGGAAGAAGAGCATTTATTTAAAATAGAAATATTTTCTAACTATATACACTAGCGTTCAAAAGTTTGGGGTCAGTATATTTTTCTTCTTTCTTTTTTTGAAAGAAATTAAAACTTTTATTCAGCGAGGATGTGTTAAATTGTCAAGAAGTGATAGCAAAGATTTATATTGTTAGAAAATATTTATATTTTGAATAAATGCTGTTCTTTTTAACTTTTTATTCATCAAAGATTCCTGAAAAAAGAATCGCAGTTTCCAGAAAAATATTTGGCAGCACATCTGTTGATAATTCTGATAATAAATCAGCATATTATACTGATTTCTGAAGATATATATATATGTGTGTGTATGTGTGTATAATATATATATATATACATACATATATAATAGTAAAGTGTTAAAGTAGTAATAATCCTATATTTTGTTTATCTTTTATTTAAATAATAAATTAAAAAATAATTGAAATTTATTAGTAGTAGTAGTAATTTTTTTTTTTTACAATTATATTGATTTATTATAATGTTATTTATTTTGAAACTAGAATCACTTTTTTTCAGAAAAATACAATTAGAGCCCTTTTCTCTCTAAAGCAGCAGATAAATGTGGTTTGTGGCGTGTAAACACAGGTTCAGATCCGTGATGAACGTGAGTCTCACCGTCACACACGACTGTGTTTATGAGACATATGGAATACATTAATGTGTTTATCAACACGTTCAAATCAGCACAGTGACGATAATTGATTAAAGAGGAGCCACTTCATTAAGGGAGCAGCTTAATTCATCTTAATTAGCATTGCTAATTAATCTATATCTGTTTCAATCAGGCTGCTGCCAAATTCAACACACACTGACTCACCATTACAGACAGACACAGACACAGACACACAGACACACTCATACACATACACATACACACTCATACACACACACACACACACACACAGAGAGACACAGATACACTCATACACACAGACACACAGACACACTCATACACACTTGACAGACACACAGACACAGACACAGACACAGACACACAGACACAGACACAGACACACTCATACACACAGACACAGACACACACACACACACACACACACACAGACACACAGATACACACACACACACACACAGACACACAGATACACACACACTCACAGCGCTGCAGAACATGTCTGAACTGAACAAGAGAGACAGAGATGGAGGAAGATATCAAAGACAGCTAAGAGTCCAAACAGCTGATAAAAACATCACAATAATCCACAGCACTCCAGTCCATCAGTGACATTACACAACTGCGATCATAAGTTTACTTTTCTGGAAAACATGTAAATATCTTCTGCAGCTTTGAATCAAATAAGAAAAAATATATATATTTAAAACATAGCGAGCCCTGTCATATGTTGCTTAATTAGTTACGAATGATCTTCCAGCACAGAGGCGGTGATATAAAGCCGTATTAATCAGTGTAGAGTCTCAGCGCTCTGTCCATCAGTTCAGCCTAACGACTCCAGCAGCAGATCCTAACGAGCGCTCGACGTCTTCTCCTTCTTCACAATAGTGCGTTCGGCCCAATTAGTGCTGCGGCGTTCCTCGACTGTCTAATAAAGGCCAAGCTCAGCGTCTGATTGGATGAGAGACACACGTCTGCTCTAATGACCCTAACGACCCGCTACACATCACATGACACAACATCACACCCAACAGATGCATGAACACTAATGCACTAATTTACAGTAAGGTCTCATTCATTAACATTAGTCAATGCATTGGTTAACATGAACTATGAGCAATATGTGTTTTACATGAATTAACCTTTGTTAACAGTGCTATTTTAGTATCTTTGAGATGCTATTGCAGATTTTAATTAATATTATGAATCAGTTTTTATTGTTTATATACCTTACCAAATACAGTAAGAATAAAAGGTTTAAAATCACATTATATGTAACAAATTATATACACATTATATGATATAAATCACATTATATGTATCAAATATTGACAAATTTGTTTATTTTTTGCAAGTAAAAACAATAAATTAACTTACAGTTAACCAATTAAGTTTTATTGTAGCATTTTACTGTAAAAGTTAAACACATTTTTGCTAACGCTTTACAATAAGGTTTCACTTGCTAACATTAGTTAAATACATTAGTCAATATGAACTAGCAATAAACAATACTTGTGCAGCATTTATTAGTCTTAGTTAATGTTAATTTTAACATTTGCTAATATGTTTTTTAATTAGAAAATAAAATTAATACAAATAAATAATTAAAAATGTCTATCTGTGTGGGAAAAATAAAAGTAAAAATATTTTTGTATTTAAATAATTAAATATTTGTATTAAAATAATTAAATAAATAAAAAATTATTATAAATTATTTCAGTTAATGCACTGTGAACAAGCAATGGCATTTTTTGTATTGCCTAACATTAACAAAGGTTAATAAATTATATATATAGTTAATACATTTGTACTTCATACATTTACTAATGTTAACAGACCTTACTGTAAAGTATTACCACATTTGACCATATTACCACATGAACAAACAATGTATTTTTTTGTCTAACATTGACAGGACTATTAAATGTTGTAAAAAAATAAAAATAATAATAATTTTACTAAATAGTCATAAATGAGTTAACTTATGTTAACAAATGAGTCTTTATTAAAAGGTCTGTCTACAGTATATAGTGTGTGTGTGCGTGTGCGTGTGCGTGTGTGTGTGTGTGTGTGTGTGAGTGAGTGAGTGTGTGTGTGCGTGCGTGCGTGTGTGTGAGTGAGTGAGTGTGAGTGTGTGCGTGTGCGCGTGTGTGTGCGTGAGTGAGTGTGTGTGTGTGTGTGTGTGTGTGTGTGTGTGTGTGTGTGTGTGTGTGTGTGTGTGTGTGTGTGTGTGTGTGTGTGAGTGAGTGAGTGTGTGTGTGCGTGCATGTGTGTGTGTGA